TTTAGCTCTAGGAGTAGTGCCTTTTCTGTATAAAACATTATTTTTTTCTTTCTATTTCACATACTGTCCCTGATGTGTCTGTAAATACTACATTTTAAGCTAAATATAGGCACCACATTCTTATATGAGTTAAGATAAACTTAGAAAAAGCTAAACTTCAAAGGAGTAAATTGAGTTACTTATGACCAGATCAAGGAAAATTTATAAATTCAGAGGCTAAAACATGACTATAAGAGTTTGTGGAAAATATTTATTTTCTTCGGGGCAAAGTATTACTTGTACAAAGAAATGTAAACATTTGTTAGTAAGAGCTTATTCTATATTATATACAGATTTAAACGGCCAAAAAGTATGAAAAGTTATATTTCATGGATTTTAAAGGATAAGAAGATAAGCTTAGTTTAAATGGGGGATTTCATCTCTAGTTAGAGAAGTCTTCATGTTACCATAGATCACATCCATTCATTCATCCTTCACTCTAATTGTCTTTTGTTCCTACCTAATGAAGTGTGCTGTATGTTTGTTTTGCAGATCTAAAGCGGGAAGCCAGTATCTGTCACATGCTGAAACATCCACACATTGTAGAGTTATTGGAGACATATAGCTCAGATGGAATGCTTTACATGGTTTTTGAATTGTGAGTGTGCATTTTCTATCTTAAGGAGTAATGTTTTAAATGGTGTTCGTTATAGAAAACTCAAACTTTTCTCTTAAAGTTCAGCAATAGACATGGATTCATCTGTGTTGAGAGACCTAAAGTCACAGGTAAAAAGAATTTTCTCACTTAAGGTTCCCAATGGCAAAGAAAACAAAAGCTGGGCATAGGAGGTGCCCTCACCCATTTTGGAGAAGAGGCTCTAAAATGAACTATAGCTCAGAGGATTAAAAGGCCCCAAAACATGCAATTCGCATCTTAGTGAAGAAAATGGAGATGAAATTGGAGATTTCCATGTAGGAAGTCTGGCAACTTAAAATGTGTAACAACAAACTTGATTTTCTCTTTTAATATAATCACCATGTTGCCATATAAAGGGAAGTCTAGAACTAACAGTATCTTGATTTCAGTATACTACTTCACTTGTTCCTTACAGATTTTTTTTTTAAGATGGAGCAGTGTAAGCTAAGGATAGTACAACTAAGTAGTACAAGGCTGCCTGGATGCATGTCCACAAAGACTGTGTAAAGCTTTATGGGATGGCATTATGTAAGATTTTTGTCTTTGATCAGTTCAAATTTAATCAATGACTTTAATTAGGAAAATATAAAAAGATATATTTGCTAAATGTGCAAGATACCAAGGTTAGAAGGTGCATTCATTATCTGTTGCTTCATAACAAATTACCCCTTCTGAGCTCCGTGGGCATTGCATGACACAGGTATACTTACATACATGTAGGCATTACACTCATACACAAAAAATAAAAGTTATAAATAAAATATTTTTAAAAAGAATATCACTTTCAGCACCTTGAATTCTTTTAAACATATTTCCTTCTCAACTGTATAGGTACACTTTTATCTCCTTTACCCTATGGGACATGTCTGTGACCTACATGACACAGCAAGTCCTCACTGTCAGATCACAGAGCCCAATCAGACTCACTTTTGTCAAAGGAACATTCTGACTTCATTTTTTAAGTAAAATTAAGGTGTTAATAGACATCCCAGTGACATTCATCTGACTATTGATTTCAGATTTTCAGATGATCTGTCTCTGCCATGAACACATTGTCTGGGACATAGGGTGCTGCCTCCCTTTCTTTCTCAGAGCCTCTGCTTTGTTCTGAAGGTGTCACCCTCTGAAGGAGCCATGTATTCCCCAACTGTCTCTGAAGGTAAACAGACTTTCAGGATAGGAGAGAAGTTGGTCTCTTGAGGTGGCTGTTGTAGATCTGAAGATACAGAAGGAAAACCAACAGATCATAGAACTTGTTTTCTAACAAACCAAGTTATCTTAGTTCAGGGGATGGCAAGATGACTTCAGCAGGTAAAAACTCTTGCCAAGCAAACCCAATAGCCTGAGTTCAATCCCTAGAACAGGACAATAGCCTGGAAGCTCCGTAGGCTAGTTAGCCTGGAGCATGCAGTGCAAGAGAAACAAGAGAGACCCAGAGATACCCTTCATCAACAAGGTGGAAGTCAAGAACTGACTCACAAAAGTTGTCCTCTGACCTCCACTTGCATGCCATGGCATGAACTCAGATGTGCACACTCACTTGCACACACACAACAACAACAATAAGAAAATTCGTGAAAAATCCTATTTCACATGTCCGGTGGAAGGACTTTGGGAACTCCTAGACATATCTAATTCCCACTTAAGTGCCCTGGCATGGAAGAGCTCTTAAAAACACTGGAGGCTTAGCTACCCATGAATGAACTGGTTTCTTGGTGTAAGAGTCCCCACCATAGGTAGAATATAATTGGCATCTTCAGTTCATTGCAATATTATACCATATAAGATTATATGATTGTTCAGTGTGGCATGCAGGCTATCACTAGAATCAACAAGTGAAAGGCTTCACCTCTAAGACCTCTAAAGTCCATGAATGAAGCTGCTGGCTTACAGACACACACTTCCACACTGGAAATGCACAAGAGGAGTTGTACCCATCCCAGGGAGCTGAAGTCCTTGTTTTACTTTTTCTGCAGAAGGTCTCTGGCATCCTGTCCAATTTTAAGATTATAATTCTTTAAAAATTATTTTTCTGATTTAATTTTATTCTCCACTCAAGAAATCTGTTTCTGTTCATATTTTTTTCTTAGTGAACTAAAAACAGAGTTAATCATAGACTATAAAGTATCAAGCACAGAAAGCAGATTTAGAAGGGGGGATAAATTTTTAAATCATCACCATACTGATAAAACCATAATTCAATTTAAAATATGAACAAGGAGAGGGATAAAATCACAACAGGTTCTACAGTTATTAAATATACAGTAATGCTATGAATGGCTGCATGCTAATCTAACATCACAGGAACAATGGACAGACTCAAGTCACAAAAAAGCTACAGCAGTTTCATAAATTAATCAAACTAACCTAAAGTTTACCACTCTTGCTGTTTGCATTAATGGGTCTTAAAATTACAGTGTAGTAGAGAGAAGATGATCTTTCTTGTCATAAAATCTGGGTTTTAGTTCCTTAGAGTTGAGGAGATGTATATGAGATTTTTGTAGCTGATTTTCTATGATGCCATTCTGATTAAAATAATCCAGTGGCCGGGCATAGTGGCGCACGCATTTAATCCCAGCACTCAGGAGGCAGAGGCAGGTGGATCTCTGTGAGTTCAAGGCCAGCCTGGTCCACATAGTGAGATCCAGGACAGCTGGGGCTACAGGGAGACCCTGTCTCAAAAAGACCAAAATAGTAATAATAATAATTATTATTATTATAATCATCATCGTCATCATCCAGTGGCTATCTTGAGATGACACCTCATTAAAGAGAGACATTTACCACTGGCCTACTCCTAATTTTAGCTCAAATCACTAGAACTGTTCTCTTTTTTTCACCTTTTATTTTGAAAAATTCCAAATGAAAATGGAGACTAGTATAATAAATGCCAGCCTGGAGCTGCAGCAGTTATCAAAACATTTGGCCATTCTTGTTCAAACTATCCTTTCCTGTTGTCATTTTCCTCTAGAGATTTCTAAAGCCGTATCACTTCACCTCAAAACGTTCCTGATTGTGTTTTCTAACAGATAAAGACTCTTTTAAAATAATTATTCTCATACCTAACAAAATCAGCAATAATTGCTTAATATGATATCATATTCACTTGGTGTTCAATTCTTCCTGATTTAACATGAATCTTAAATGACAGCTATCTAAATTTAGAACTTTTTTATGAGCTCTAGGGATCTAGAAGTAGATTATAAATTCACGGCTAAAATAACAATTATTTCTTCAAGGGCCAGAAACAAAGTAGAAATATAAAATTCTTCTGTCATTGTTCTATAAATACACCTTCACAGTTATATTTGGATGCGCCCCCACCCCCGTTTTTTTTTCATCTTCCTTGATCTCTTGGTTTCAAACCAGCAAATGCAAAACAGATTACTATTAAGATTTAAAGTCCTGTGGATGAAAAAGCAAAGCCAATACACTTGCATGTGCCTCCACCTACTGGCCATGTGAGAGGATGCTTCTACAACTGCAGTGGAGATTAAGCTACTCCAGTTTTCTCCCCATGCCTGGCAATAGATAAAATTTCCCCTGGTATTCAAGGGCTCATTGCTCAGGTTATGCGCGATCTGGATCTTTTTCACAGTTTTATAATGTTACGTCAAGTCAGAGTAGACATGAAAGGGGAAACAAATGAAATTAGGCCAATTGACTTTGTTGTTTCTTGGCTTCTTGGAAAGCTCTCATTTATGTGGAGAAAAGGCTAGACAAAACAACATACCGGATTATCAGCAAGTTTCTTAATTTGACATCCATATCTGTCTTTGCCACAGTCTATGTGTACCCAGCACTCTTTTCCTCTTTCTAAACTGCAGTTACATGGCACAGTTATATTTCTCACATATTAGAAAGCCCTTAGAACTAGTTGAGATTCACTTAATTACAAGCGGTTTATAAATGTAAAGCATACTTAAATATAAATACTGACAGAACCGGAATTTTAGAGCTGGAAAATATTTAGAACAGTAGGTTTCAAAACTTTGAAAATCTTGTGCAAGTTTGTTAGACAAGCATATACTCACATCCTGTCCCTGGACATTGTTTGAACAGATGTGGGTCTTCACAGGACAGGACAAGATGAGCAACCTTTAAAGCCCAGTTAATGCTACTTGTAGCTTGTGTTGTCACTTCCCTACCACCCACAGTAGGTTGTTAGACAAGCGTACGTGATGGCAATACATCCATTGCTTTGGGATTATGCTTAAATTTGAACCTATGGTGCAATGATTTGCCAAAACCTATTTTAAAATACAGATTCAGTTTTGAAGATAAGGCTGAATTGTGCTACCCCCCTCAACAGTTAAATGTTTATTTCTAAGTAACGCATTCAGGCTTGTCCTCAGTAGTGTCTGGTACTTGAGTTAAGCTGTAAATCCTAAATTGACTGGCAAAGAAATTTTAATTACCTTATTATAGTATGATTACATATACCACAGGGAGATTTCTCCAGTAATTAAATGTGGATTTTAAATATCTGAACATGAAAACAATAGTTTGTTATCTTTTAAAATAATACTCTCAGTTTGTATTTTTGAAGCTTACAAGGAAGATAATAGACTGAAACTGCTTTTTTAACTTTAATTTTTCTGATATTTATGCATGTGGGAGTATTTGTGAAATTAAGTGGAACGAATTATTACTTAGCAGCAAACTTGCCACATAAGTGAATATCTTTGTTTCATATCAAGCAGTAAAAGTCTAGACTGTATCATTTATTTGAAGATCTATGTTTTATTTTTTAGTCTTCTCCATTCTATTTGATTTTTTCTTATCTATTTTGATACAAATTGCTTATTCGTTCAGCAAATTTAGCATTTCTCTTCACCTGCTATATCAAAATGTTCAGTTGATTTTAGTTCTAAATATTATATCAGGGTCCCCAAGTCTACTCTCAGATTGATTATTCACTAAAAGGACTCAAAACAGTCAGTATGTAGTCAGATTCACTG